TATGAAAGGCTGCGTCAAGAAAGGGGGGAGGGGGAGCCTCCGAGCCTTTATTATCCGCAATTTCCGTGGAACTTTATTGCCGGTCCGAATACCGACTGTTATTAATACAGCGACGTTTATCTATCATTACGAGCCGTACTGGGCTATTAATGACCGAGCGAGATAGTATAAATTTTCGTGGATCGAACATAATGGTACTGGTCGCACTGCGCGCGACGCTGATCGATGGGTCCGAGGGAAAAGTGTATCGCGACCCGGCATTTATCATGCGCCGAATTATATCAGCCGAAGAGAAATAAAAATGTAAAGGAACGCAGTTCTTTCATTGGCCATCGATTCTTTCCTCCGATCACGCGATTCTAATCAGAAATAAAACAATAATATCGATCGATTTAAGGATGTATTGGTTATATAGTCAATCCCAAAAGTTCATGTACCTTAGAAAAACGCATTTCCCATAATTAAAAATAGTGCATTCTTCTTCTAATTTCGATATTTAATGAGTTAAGTATGATTATTTGGCATTTTATTGATGTTGACAAAATCCGACCATCCCAGCGTCGAAACAGCGAACTTTTGGAAAAAAATTTCGTTTTTTGTCAATAACTCCCGAACGGATGGACGTAGGGGGGCATATTTNAATAGGAATCTATAATAACAAATTCAACATGCCAGCATTGTTTAAGTATATGTATAGCCATACAGCCTTAAGAAGTGCTTGTCACGACAAATTCGATTGTCGTTTCCACGACGCGAATCCAATTGCACCGGATGTTTATTTTTGTAATTGCGACTGCGAGGAAAAAACGATAGATTTTCACTTAGAAAATCGGCTTCGTCCCTATCTCCATTTTTTGCCACGTTTATTACTTTCCAGAACGAGATTGAGACCGAGATTCCGCCTTATTGTTCCAACGAGGGAATTACTTTCGCTGCTTTCGATTTCCACGACGGCTGTGATTTAACGGAGACAATCTCGCGCCGCCAGACTTTCATCCTCGCGCGATTCCGAGCCCTCTTTTTTCCATGCGACGCACGATTGTCTCAAGTGGAATTAGAACCGCCTCGATTGCTTGTTTCGGGAAAAGTAATCGACGCGCACTTTCCATTGCAAACATTCACCCGTGAGAACAGCCGCCAGTGGTTTAATTGTACACAGCTTTTCTCAATCACAATCGCTTCGTGAGAACTGACGATTATCTCTGATAACGAAACAAGAATTTGACATCTGTTGCCTCACAAAGCCATGCGATCTTTTACGTTAAATAAAGTTGTCCATCTCGAACATCGACTGAGACTCGCAACACGATTAACTTGAATTCTGGTCGAGTCTATTTTCGAATTGCCTCCCCTTAACAATCGAGTGGGGGGAGGGCCCACGTTGGGAAAGACTGACCTGTACGATCGGACGTAAAAACGAGAATCAGGAAGCGTCCGCGGGAAACTAGTGAAACACGAAAATCGTCCTGCTTCACAATGATTTATTATCTCACGGATGTGCCTGGAACTATCCCCGAGCCTGTCTAGCACGCCGGCACATACACGTGCCCGCGAGTAAGCGTATTCACCATAAACCAGATTCAAGATCAGGTTCAGCAAGTTTGCTGGGAACATCAAAGTAGAATATAAATCTCGCTGCTTTCCACTTACTTTCTTGGAGGCATTCGCGAAGGATTTGCGACACCGATCGAAAGTGAATTGCTCGTCAAACTAAATAGATAGCTGCTTCGAATCCAGTTTTTTATGTAAGAGACACGTTTCTCGTACGAATTAAAAAGACCGACTTAGACAGTCGTTCGTGCAGCTTTTCAATGTACAGAAAACAGATTGGTCAATGCATAGAGATCCATAAGATATCGTGAGATCTGCTCGAACGATCACGATGATTCCCATCTGAATCAATTTATTCGATTGACACGATAAACGTTTTATTTTATTCGTCTCTGTCGACGATCCTTTCGCAGGATTTTGTTTTCCCCTCGGTGGAAGGATCGCGTGTTGGCCTTCCGAGCCGGTAGTTTCTTTTGGGTAACTCTGTACGGCGACGTGCTGGCATTGAGTTGTAGTCGTAGTAGAATAGAGCAACTAACCAACTAACCACGAGACGTCAGTAGGACAGTGAAAGGCGACCTAGACCAAGTATCTCCGGTGGTGCTGCTGCCGCTGGAACTTGACGAGGAACGCCGCTATTTTCGTGCACGTAGGCATCCGTGTATGCGTTACGTACATACGTGGATTGATACGCGTGGAGTGTCTCTGTGCCGGTGCATCGCCTCTCCAGATAGTGCGAGCCGCTCGGTCTGACCCGATACCGAAATCGGGGCGCGTCTCGTCGATCGCTGGACCTGAGATATTTGCCAACAGAACCTGATTTCACAGGCGTTCGATCAAGGTCCGGCGAGATGACGCGAGATGATCTCATTTTCTAAGTTGACCACGCGAAACGTATCACTTTGCACACGAATTCGGACCCCGGCGATGTACAAACGTTTAAACCGTGATTAATAGTGGCGGTTGGTAAGTTTTATCGGACGTCGTGTGCACGTGGGCTTTCCAGCGAGGACTCTTACGAGATATTCGAATCCCCATTCAAGCCTACGGCAACATACCGTGGCAATTTATTACCGGAAATTTCTTTTTTTCGTTGCATCATACCTGGTTCCACTAGGAGTCTATGAAACCGCCAACGAAATCACAATGCCGCGCCGGCGGAATTTCTAATTAGTCGCGCGAGAGATCGTTAACAATCGATCCCGTGGAATTCTCTATCTAGTTTCCAGGCCTTACGTAAATTACGTTTAACTCGCTTGTCTTCCCATGTGTTCGATATAAATGCGTACCACCGAGTTAACGATTCTCACGAGATTATTTCACGTTCTACCACTTCTACGCAGTCGATTATTTATATAATTATTATTAGAAATATACTCTAAGAAGAATATTTATGACGTAATCTTTACGTAGATTACATTTAACTCGCTTGTTTTCCCATGTATTCCATATAAATACGTACCACCGAATCAACGATTCTTAGGAGATTATTTCACATTCTACGTAGTCGAGTTTATCTCGTCGTTAAATTTACTAGGGATACGTTGTAAGAGGAATATTTATGAAACAGTGTACAAATCGATGAAAGTGCTCTGGGTTCTTTAATTAGTACAATAGTAATAAGTAATTGTGATCAGGCAGTACAGATTTTTACTTTGAGACTGTCTAACGTATAAGACCGCCATGGTTCGTTTCGCTATCGAGAGAGTCTTCTCTCCTCATGGTCCTTTCGATTTCGTTCCGATTGCAAGCGAAGATGTGTGTCGACATTGCCCTCCTTAACCGGCGAAAGTTACACCGGCTAATTGAACTTCTCAATCCGGTCCGGATTCCCTTGTAGAATTTCGATTCACTGATTCCCAAGCCCGTTCGATTCGTTTCAGACCATTTTTCTCTGTACAAAATTTTATTCATAAACTCGATCTCGTACAAATTCTATACGACTCGTTTAGAAATTCCCTTGCTATTAATTACGTAAATAGTCATTTATCTTGTTTTATTAAAACCTAATTTGAAACTCCTGTTTCATAGAACTCGCTCGAAGATCCTCGGTGGTCGAATGAATCGGTTCACAGAAGACTGCTTCCTCTCCGACACGTGTACGACGTATAAACATTAACAGTTCAATGGCGCGGCACGGTAAACACATTCGTATTCTTGGACAGCGTTTTCGGAGGATGCGTTACCGTGCGCGGCCAATTAACGTTGATATAAAGCCCGCGCCAACGCCATTCCGCGCGTTTTATTATCGTACGCGACCGACAAGAAGTTTCTTAGTCCGCTGCCTCGCTGTCAAAATCGCTGCCACGTTTCCCAATCCACTTTTATGTTCGCTCGGTCGATTCGTTTCTTAGAATCATCGTCTGCGACGAAAATTCTGTAAAACAACGCGTAGTGATTTGATCGATGCACGATTTCGAATTCGTATAAAATATCTTTCGATGAACCCCTGAGTAATCGTTCTATAAAACGTTTCCCTCTTCCTGTTTGAGTTCCTAAAAACTTTCGGAGCACCCGTTACGTGGACTCGCGTTCTAACTCCTACTCGCTGTCAGTGAAAACCACATCGGCAGGATAGTCGGTGCGATGGAACGCGAGGGAAATGAGGAAAGTCGGGCACCGATGAAAGTGAGAGGACACTGGCTACAGGCCGTTCCATTCAGCATTGCTCTTCCTTTCCGTCAACCGTGCGGAGAAAGGATTTCTGTCGCGTGCTCTTCCTCCTCTTATTTGCAATCGAATCCTATGGTATCGCGTGTCCGATTGCTTTCTACGGTATCGTAAGACTATCACTGTGTAGAAAGTCGAAATCTTTTTCGGTAATTTGTTTTCTCTCGATAGAAGCTCGTTATCAATTACTTTCTGATACGGTTTTTTTTTATGCAAAACGTTCGTAATGTCGATTCTGAAATCCGGACGAGAATTTCCTCTACCCTGTTAAAATAATACGCATTCCACGCTTGATCGTATCTTATTCTCTGACGACGTTATTACATTTTTTACGTAGAAAAATTCTCAGTCTAATTAGAATAATTGGATGCGAAACAGTTGATTTATTTCTTCGTGGACTTTTGGAACGAGCAAAGGTGGCGAAATTTCGTTTAACAAAGCGATCCCGCAGAAACGAGTTAGGCAACTGTTGTAAATAATGCAGTGACGCACGTAAGTTAGTCGTTTAAAAATGCAGAAGGTGTTTTCGAGCCAATGATAAACCTCTCGATTCCCGATTCCTTTTACTTCGCCTCTTATTCCGATAGAAATCAATTAACGATAAATCATTTATTTCTATCTGTTTCAAAAATTGCTTTGCCAAAAGGTCTGTCAGTTGCTTTTATCGTTGAACGATCTTACTCCGACGCGACTCTGTTCGATGGAATTCACTAGATTAATGCATCTCTGTCTCTGTGATCTCGAGTGCATGAATTAAAGAATCTAATTTGTGCTCGCAGGTTTGCTCGAATGAAAGTCGTTTGAACGGTCGAGAGTGTCCTCCGACGAGGAAGAATCCCGGCTAGGGTCAGAAGGAAACGATAGAATAGGGCGGTAGACGGGATAAACGGATAGTCGATTAATCCCGGATAGAATGGCAGGCGAGGACACGCAGATCTTGGCTAATGGCAACGTCGAGGCTCTCACGATAATTCCACCGAAGATGACGAACGGTAACGGGCTGATCTGCGGTAAGCAGCACAACAACAACGGGTCGATACCGAACGGCAGGTTGCACGAGATATCAGCGACGGAAAATGGGAAGCTGATCATGTCCGACGAGAAATCGAGCAGCCTTCACACGGAGTTCGATGATCCGGACGTGTCTTGCGGCTGGGGTCCCTGCAGGCCGCACTGGCTTCAATATTTCGCCACCAAGCAGGCCTTCTTAGTTACCTTCTGCATCACTTGGGTCAGTATATTTAATCTACCGTAAGTCTTTACGACCCTTTTAATTGTACGTATGTATTTGGTGCGACTAGAGCCAGTGTAATGCTTTTTACAAAAGTGTGTAACATTTTTAGTTCAGCCGATTGGCCCAGAAATGGGCTTGGTTTTCTTATTACTCCTATTTTACATTTTGTCATTGCGCGTCTCATTGATTAAAATTCGAAACAATTGTTGTTGGAAATCTGGAAAGGAATCGTGTTTTCTGTGTGCAGGTACTTCAGGGCATGTACTACACGTACTTCGTCTCGGTGATCACCACGATCGAGAAGCTGTTCCAGATCCAGTCGAAAACGACCGGGATCATAATGTCGGCCACGGAGATCGGTCAGATCGGCTCCTCTCTCTTACTGACGTATTACGGGGGCCAAGGTCACCGGCCTAAGTGGATAGCTTGGGGCATGATTCTGTTCGCGGTCAGCTCGTTCACCTGCTCGATGCCCCATTTCATCTTCGGCGAACAGCTGATCCATCAGAACGAGATGTTCTTCAGCGGCGTCGGTCCGGGCGACCACAACAACACCGACCCGATGAACCTTTGCAAGCTCCAGGAACAATCGGAGAACATCACTCTCAGTAGGTGAGTCAAACCACTTTTAAATCTGCGTGGAAGATGATCGGAAATACGTATACAATGTGACTGAAGGTATATCACGTAAATTGATGAATAAAAAAGAGGAGCAATTAACGTATCGTGTTGTGTTGCAAACGTTCGAGCTATCGAGCAATCGTGACGGTGGATTTTCTTTTACCCGAAGATTTACGGAGCAGAGGATACAGAACAAAATAACGACGGTGGTCCTGGCTATATTTTTCGTCTCCTTATTGGGCGTTGGAATGGGTCAGACAGCGGTCTACACCCTCGGTATCCCTTACATCGACGACAATGTGGCCAGCAGAGAAAGCCCTCTCTATTTCGGTAAGAATTAAATCCTTATGATTCTAATGTATTGTATCACTGTCTACGTCTACTTACTTCGAACCAACCGAACGTGCTCGGTGTTTCGAACGAACTTCTGTTCAACAGCATATTATCGCTGTTCTTCCAACAAAGAACTCTACAAATCGTTTGAAATCCGCTTCTACTCCAAATAATTCGTTGAATAATTTTATAATTTACTCATACATTACTTGCAATTTGCATCACGATTTTCCATATTCTGTGTCTCTCGTCAAATAAAGTTAATTCATATATCTGAAAATGTTCTTTTGATTTGAAATTTGAAAGTTGGTGGAAATTGCACGTTCACGGAACATCTTGATGTACTTTGTTGCAGCGATTACGATCGGGGTGAGGATCCTCGGGCCGGCGTTGGGATTCATTCTCGGCTCATTCTGCACGATGATTTACGCAGATTTGTCGAAACCGCAAATCACGCCGACGGATCCGAGATGGGTCGGGGCATGGTGGCTCGGTAAATTGAATCTTGCATACTTTTTCTAGCTTTTCACGATCTCTACACATATCGTACAATTCCGTGATGAAAACTTTAGTTTGGCAAAAATGAACAGCGTTGTCAGAAGTACGATACACGTGATTATTTGTCGCAATTATCGAATGAAAGTGTTTTCAATTGTGCGTTTCAGGTTTAGTGCTGATAGCAGCGATGCTGATGCTGGTGAGCATAGGAATGTTCGCGTTCCCGACGCGGCTGCCTACGAGCAGAACCACGCCGAAACGAGTGGACGCGAAAAAGCCTAGTCTCCGAGGTAAGCCCTGATTTATCGCAGCAACGCGAATTGTTCGTCACGGGGGCCCCCGGTGTTTAAGCTCTGGCCATCGGATCAGAGCGGTTTAATTTGATTTTATGGCTTCTCGTAAGCCGTTCCGAGCGCGCGCCCCACCATGTTCCTCTTGTAAAATTACCCGGGGAGGATGCGAGAGAGATAAAACCCCGAAACCGTCTATTAATCGACGTATATCCGGTCTCAGTCTCCGTCCTTCACTATTCAAATAATCCGAGCGATATAAAATTTCATTCTCACTCGCTGGTCACTGATTTCATTCAAGTTTCAATAAATTAAAAATACTGATAATTCCGGATCGTCGATGCTAATTAATTCGACGAGATATAGGGACGGTGGGACGGAACAGTGGGGCGATTATGCATTTGACAGAGGCTTATCGGTACGAAAGGACGGGCCAATAAGATGATCTTTGAAGCGTGAACCTGGCAGTCAAGGTCAATGGCGAATTTCGGTTCGTCGGCGTGTCTGCTCGTTCGATCGTGAGCACGCGGGCTGACGCTTTCTGAAACACGGCCGAGCCCTTTTCTGGGAACCCTTGCCTAGGACACCGGGGAGACCCTTGGCGCATTTATTCTTGCCTCGCTCCGTTGAAACCTTCGATCGAACCTCTCGCGTAACATCTGCTCCTCGTCCGTGGTCTACGAATCCGGGCGAAGTTCAGTTTGCTCGCAAGCAAAAACTATTTGCCCACGAGTAGACCACGGATTTTTCTGCAAAACAGGATATTTCCAACATAGAATTAATCCGTACAACAATTATGGCGATGCTCGATAGAATTCTCGATCTAGCGATTCGACGCGATTAAATCGATGCGAGATCGGAATTGAATATTTTCGAGGGTGAACCGATCTGTGTGTGAGCCGTGCACCGAGGAAGAGGAGAGTGAAAACGGTTCGCACGGTGTACTCGCGGTATGCAGTACGTTACGTTGCGCGTGTTATGTCGGCCGAGGTGCACGAGACAGCTGAGATAAGTCCTCTCTCCGGATCCGGAGAGGAGCAGGGCCGTATATGCACACAGAAATGCACGAGAGCGCGTGCCCAAGTGCTATGCACGAGGAGGCATGACCGTGAACTTGCCCCACCTAGTGCACCAGTCGGTCAGTCATCATTATTAACTCACACACCGGGGCCCGTCGGGTACGCACACACGCGCGACGCCCGATCCTTTACTCCTACGTGCACACGAGAGCCGTACCGGCCGAGACCAGATATCCGGATACGTTTCGGGCCTTTCGACTCCTTTTTGCCAGGAATTTCCAGAAACGGTCGCTCGTTCGCCTTTCTATCGAACGCTTTTTGCCTAATCCTCGTGCCCGGGACTTGGAGCTCGAGATTATGCCTGGCTCTTCTAGACGCTCTTTCTCGTCGCCGTATTATTTCATGAATAAACGCCTCCGGTTCGAATATTTTTATCGTCGTCAGATTTTACAAGACGAGAATGTACAAAACATGACTGGAAGCAATACAAACAATTCGAGGCAATTCAAACGGTGAAACAAAAATCGTTTTTATTTTGCACAGAAATGCGTAGTCTGTGTTTCTCAAGGAAAGAAGGGTACAAAATTCCAGAGACTTTTCACGGGCCACCCTGTATGTACAGGGTTGTCACGATAATACACAGAGCGCAATGTTAGTCACGTTTGTCTACTCATGGTCTGCAGGACTTCTCTATGCGGAGTTGCCACGACTCTAGCCCGGCCTTCCAGGAAGCCTAGAGCAGTCCTAGGCATCCTTAATGTCAGTTTCCACCGAGGGTTTCTCGAATGGAAACCTTCGTTATCTCCGACTCGTCTCCTATTACTTCCCATGCAGGAATTCGTTTTCTACCGTTCGAAAATCGATGGTCACTCGACAATTTTTACTCGCTTTTACTCGATATGATCGCTCATACCCGAGTTCAGAATTTACACTTGGCGAATAAAAATAGCAACTAATAAATTATTATTATTAATAGTCGTTGAGTCGAATGGATTTTAAAGAGGTTCGGTCGTTACGAGAGCGAGTTGAATAAAAATGGGAACGGATAAGTTTGATGTAAATGGTTTGGCTGCCGGTCGCGTTGCCTGCACGACTCGCGACTCGCTCGCTACACCTCGGCGTCTCTCTACCTGTTGCAGACTTCCCTAAAGCGGTGAAGAGGCTGTTGAAGAACGACATTCTTATGTTCCGGACGGCCAGCAGCGTGCTGCACATCCTACCGATCGCCGGCCTCTACACCTTCCTGCCAAAGTACCTCGAGAGCCAATTTCGCTTGCCAGCTCATCATGCGAACATGATCTCAGGTAATTTTCACGAATAGACACGCGAGCCGAACTCATTCGGCCCCGAAACCCTCCACCTTTACCATTACATCCTTTTGAACTCTCCGAACTTCCTTACCTCACCGGTTCGGTAGTCGTTACACGATCGCCTGTTTACATTTCAAACGACCCAACACCGAATCTTCGCTTAAAAGCAATTGCATTCGTCTTTAACCCGTTCGCTCGAAGCGTATTTAAACAACTCCGAGTTTCAAGCGAATGAACTACATGATTCCACGATCTAGTAAAATATTTTGCATTTTCTGTTAAAGCCGAAATGTTTCGTGGAACATTTTCAAGAGAATCGCTGGCTGACGGTTGGCTTGTTCTTTTCGCAGGTGTCGGTGGAATTTTAGTGATGGGTTTGGGTATTATAATTAGCGGCGTGTTCATACTGAGAGCAAAGCCTAATGCGAGGTTCGTCGCAGCCTGGATCGCCTTCACAGCAGTAGTTTACGCGATCGGCATGGGTGTGCTCATGTTCATCGGTTGCCCCATGGACGATTTCGCTGGCCTCGTCTCGCATTCCGACGGGTAAGAATTCTTATATAATAAGAATGTTATTTTTTACACAATTGCTTTTCGCGTATAAATACACAATGACTGCTTTTATTTCTTATATCTCGTTTTGCCTCGATCACTTTGTCAATCACGACGTATGAATTCGTGTTCATATTCGTATGAAATTTTTTCACGATGGGCAGATTGAATGATCGATACAATTTCTGTAGATCATCCAGTTTCGAGCCGACGTGCGAGGCTACTTGCGACTGCGTTCGAAACAAGTTCAGTCCGATTTGCGGTGTCGATGGGAAAACGTATTTCTCTGCGTGTCACGCGGGCTGCTCCAATTACACGGTCGTCGATGGCAAGGTGTCTTCGGTAAGTACTACCCTTCGAATCAGTTCCCATCGCTATTATCAATTCCCTTCGTGTAAGATAAAACTGCAAACATCTCCTCCTACTCGTTTATCAATCATACGTCACTACATTTCGACTCTTGCAACTCTTGCAAGGGATTTCAATGTGAGACTTTGGTAACGAAAACATGCGGGGTTATTTCTGAAAGTCTAAACGATTTCAATTTCACACTGGTTAAACACTGTCACTTTTGATATTTCGCACAGTTTTTTTATGCATCACGCGTAGGGTTTATGTTTTCTGCAATTGAACAATCTGGAATCAGCGGTCTATTAATCAATTAACTCTTGCAAATGAATCGATGCACAAAACCTAGGTCGCAATTCCGAGCGATAATTGTGTTCAGCCGATGACGTCGTCGCGTGCGAATATTAATACACAGCTGGATGCATCGTAATTGTCCGCGACATGCAACCAGGCCAGAAATGTTTCGTTGTTATACCGTTTACGGGCGAAATCGCGTTACTCGCCCGAACGGAACAATGCTTCATTGATTGCGCAACGGAGCAACTCATTACTTTCGCAATGGGAACGTGCCGCGGCGCGAGCATTTCATTTCCAGATTTCGCCGTGGATCATTACTCGTACGATTAGGAGATGGCCCGGGGTGTTCACGTCGAAATTTCGTTTTCAGTTAAACAGCCTCTCGCTTTTTCATTGCTACCGCGATCGATTGTACGACCAAAAGCGTATTCGTCAACGATTTACTTAATTATCGAACGAAACCTATTCCTCGTTCCCTCAGAGAGTCGATCAATAAAATAATTCAATAAAAAATTTGTACAAATAATTTTCCGACTCTCTGAAATCTCTGATCAATTGTTCTCATCCGCTCATCCCGTACGAACCACGTAATCTAATTCTTGTATCGTTACGTCTGACCAGAAACGTCTTGTACTACTTACGCGTTATCTTCCTCGTAATTTCCTATGGAAACGGCGCGGCGGTTCTACGGTTACGCTATCAATTTCACAGGATATAAGTCGTCTAACTGAGTCTACTTCATAATCGTAAGTTTCCCCTCGTGAAATTCTAGGACGTGAAAACGAAACTGCGTCACGTATGAATACATGTATCGTGCCATCGTTCATCCTCAATAATTGTTATACAAATTAAACTATGATTGTGTTTTACCTGTAAAAATAAGAATACCTTAAACGAAGTTCCATTCACGTTCTCGTACGAATTCACGGTTTATCTGTGACGTTGGATTTCAGTTTAACAACTGCCAGTGCATCGGGTCGAACCTGACGATGACACCGCCGGAAATAGCCAGTACAGCGACAATCGGCTACTGCGAGCTCGAGTGCAGTAACTTTTGGGTCTATATGGTCCTGTTCTCGGTGTTCGTTTTTATCCATTCGACCAGCGAGGTCGGCTCCATGCTGCTAATCCTGCGATGCGTGGATCCTCGGGACAAGGCGATGGCTCTCGGTCTAATACAATTCGCCATTGGCTTGTTCGGTAATTGAAATCCTGCTCTTAACGACTAGATTTTTATAAAATGTGTACGATGTCAGTTTAGATGTACATTTACATCGTTTGAATGTTGAAACGTGTGTCCCGACATTCTGAATCGTTTTCATCGTTTCTGCAATCTGTTGACCGATCGACTTAGAAATGAATTTGTCAGTCTAATAATAAGCTGACTGTTCGGTTCCAGGTAACGTCCCGTGTCCGATCGTTTATGGCGCCGTGGTGGATTCCGCCTGTCTCGTATGGGAATTCGCTTGCGGCGAGCGCGGCGCTTGCTGGCTTTACGACTCGAATGTCTTCAGAATGTTCTATCACGGTACGTACGTAAACAAATCTGCTGCCTACCTGCACGTCAATCCTGCTACCCTTTCCTATTTCCATCGTTAGAACTCTTATGCGAAAGCGATAAAGTCAGTTCGAAAATTTCACTTTCCATCTCCGTCGTCCTCACGTCGCCTCGAGACACAATTGTTTTACGCTCTAGTCGTCGTTCATCTCCGGTAAATGAAATTGTACGAAACTGTTCTCAGGCACCACGGGGGGGATTCTGGTTCTCGCGTTCGTGGTGGACATAGTCGTCTGGTACAAAGCGGGGAGTATAAATTTCGTGGAGGAGCAGGAAGTGGAAGAGGGTACCGTGGAGGAGATGGCCACCCTGAAATCTCAGGACGCGCAGGTGGTGGACAACGATTATTTGTGAATGGGTCCCGGCCAGCGTCGATGATATCCTACGAAGCACGTCGTGGATTGAGACGAAGCATGACGAGGCGTCTCCGACTGACCGAGAGAGAGCCTCGGGTGGTAGCGCGTGTCACGCTCGCTTCAGGGCCTCGAGCCCGGGGTCGCGTCGCGAGGCAGCAGAGCCCTTTAACGGGGCAGAGACACTGGTGCTTGATCCTATCCTGAAGATAGAAAGTCGAGAATCGGAACGAAGGAGGCGGGTCGCCCGTAGTTTCCGAAGAGGCTGTGCCGAGGTCTCAAAGTGCGTCGTTTCAAACAGAGACTTTATTTTTCTCTGAAAAGTTTCGCGGTTTGGCGTCGAAGAACAACGAACAGGTAGCGTATGAGATATCTAAATTTCATATCAATTTGGATGAAGGCAGAGGCGGTCGACAGAGGCACTGTTCCCTCGGAACTCGAGGTCCTCGGATCTCGCCCGAGCTACTGTTAGGCGCTACCGTCCGCGTTTCGCTCCACGAATATACCTAGAGAAGTAGGCGAACCGTACACGCGACCGATTTACGATCGGCGAACGTCCGTTTAATAATCGAGAGGAAACGCGCGCGGTACCTATATCTCATCGTATGCTCGAACAAATAAAATCGGAATGAATGATCGTAAAAGTATAAGGACGATGACGATGATGCGAATGAGGGAAATAAGACGACTACATATTTTTAGACGATTTGAATGGATAAAGAACAAAGGGTAACGATAGTTGTTAACGTTAATAAATTAGGATACGATAGACGGGAGAAGGGAGGCGATCGTACGAAGCAAAAAAAATAGAGCTGAAGAAAGGAAGCGAAGTTACGAAACGAAATACGGGATGGGAAACTGTATTTAAAATATGATTCACTTTGCACATTCGTGGCCTGATCGTTTATTAACCAATTGATCTGTTCTCGCTGCCAAGCTTGAAAACTGCCACACTTTTCTAAAAATGGAAATGAGACGACGCTAAAAAAAGTTCAGACTCATAATTCATACGATCCTATTTATTGTCATACACTGGTTATTAATGGGTTGACCCGTGCAATATTCTTGTGACAGACTCTGTTCAAGACATCGATTATAGTTCCTTAGTTCCTATTTTAATTTCCAACTGCATTCCCGTAACAAAAAAAAAATTATCACTCATCCACAATAATCTTCAAAGGGTTTAACGAACGATCAGTATAGGTGGAGAATCTCTTATCTCTCGTTACGAACGAGCGGAAGTCGCTCGATGAAACGAGATGAGAACGAAGAACATGCACTTAGGATAGTCGCTGCGAAGTTCGCGAATTATTCAATTCAGGGGCATTGCTAATATCTATATTAAACCGTTTTTCCGTTCCTTTCGAAGAAGCCCTCGTTACTAGATCTTCCTAGTCCAGAAGCGAACGTTAAGAAGATTTCGTTTACACAGAAAATAATTTAGCCTCGTATTCGACGAATTAAGATTCTTTTAGCGAAACGTAAAGAAAAATCAATTAGATTTTCCTCGTGGGAAATTCGGATCTCTTCTGGACTAGGACAGAAGATTCAGTCCTTTCGGTGTATCCTAGTCCACTATGGATTGGAGAGTTGAAGGATGCCACGTGTATAAATTGTGCTTTCGTTGTGCGAGTGAGGTAAATCGTTGACGATGCGATCGCGAGATGATTGCGTTTCTGTGCGCCCGTTGATCTCCGAGAGAATTGTATTTTTGTATTCGAGCCGACACGAAATCTCTATTTTAACCGATCGTGCAAGATCGTATATAGCACAGTACGTAATAACATTGTTAATTTCCTTTTCATCCGTGATTTCCTCCGTCGACTCGACGACGCGAGCGAGCCTGTCGCGTTAATTATAGACTACGGATTCGACGCAGTTACGGAAAATGGAATCCGCGAACATAAAAAATGGCATGCTCGTTAATGAATTCCCGGTAGGGGGACTTTCTGAACGTTTCTGCATGAAAATCCGCGGTCCGTCGATGAAGATATTTTTCTTGCGAGTAAATCACGAAAGGAAAACCGCGAACACACGTGTCTATTTTCCAAAAGCCAAGTTTTATCTCTAAATCCTGTTTTAAAACGCGTTTCTCGATACATTAAGGAAGAGCACATGAGAAATGAGTAGATCATCCACAAGCGAACGAAAGATTTATCCCTTTGATCAAAGGGTAGACCTCGACGAATGATGTGTACATTGTTTCTGTATATTACGTGTACGATAGGGCTGTACATATAGGAAAGTACAATAATTGCCAAAATAATCATGGCGCGGAGCGACAGAGTCTCAATCTCTATTCCGTGTGTTGCGCCAGTCGGTGAATGCGTCTTTCAAAAATCCACCAGCGAACTTTGATCCGTGGAATTGTCCAAGGTCTCTTAACGATTCAGGTTTTCCAGTTTAATTACACTCGTTCAGTCACTTCTGGCCCGTTACTTCTGGACGTGCTAGTCGCGTTACTGTGAGCGTCGTAACGGCGCCGTGACGTCGTTCAGACACTGCCTTCTTTACTGCCAATGGAAGACTCATTTCATGGAATTCAAGCCAGTTGTATTACTGCCACATTTTACACGTCTACTGTTTTCTACCTAACGTTTTTTTATAACGCGATTTCTGTAACAACTAAGACTACTTGCATTTTTTATACGTGATTTGGAACGTACGAAAGTACCTTCATTCTCGTGTGAACTATCAAAGCATTTGGCATTCATCGATACATGATCGTATTCGCGAGGTCTCACAATTTTGTAGAGTAGACGTTGATCGATTAAAAGCGACACGATCACTGGCGGAACACAGAATACCATAATAATAATAATAATAATAATAATAATAGTGATAATTCTATATTTTAGTAAAACGAAAGAATTTATCAGTAACATACTTGTAGGATAATCGTAAAAGCGGGCACCGCTGTTTTACCTAATTACAGAGTCGTTCTTTAAGGGAACTACGAATAATTGCTAGTCTTTAATTTGCGACGTGCTCGCGTGTATCCGCACGTATCCGACGGAATTCTATCGACGGACGTTTTAGAAATTCGATCGGGACAACTTTATCATTCCGTGCACGATTTATTCCCCTCGATCGTTCGCGTCCCGATTTTAATTGTCGCTGCGATTTATTCATCTGCGACGGTCTATTTGCATGTTGAAGAAATCGCAGCTCGCAGTCTTTAGACCGTCGAAAGTGTTTGAATCTCATTGCGTGAGTCTGATTTCCCGTTTAGACGATTTTTATTAAGTTACTCAGTCACGGAATGTGGAAGTTGTCACGATGTTCCAAATATACGACGTACGCGCGTGTCGTATCGGACGTGGGAGATGACGAGGCGGGCAGGAAGGAAGAGAAAAATATATAATGCCATTTTTATGTATGCACATAGAATATCGTACTAATGGTTATCACGAAAACTCTTTTGTTTCGTTAATATTATTCTTACTATTATCGCTACGATTGATTGTCGCCGGATATTGATTCTCCTTAATCAAATGTCGCCGTTAATTCGGGGCGGAATCACCGTTGTAATATGCGCTTTGATTTTTTTTACATATACCCTATATACGAGGAAAAAGCGAGCGAGAGAGAGAGATCAATTAATCTATAATCTACATAGGATACTTAGGTGTATTTTGATATATACGTAGTACACGATGCATGAGTGAATGTGAGAAATTATTAATAATCGTCCGGCCTGAATCGCCGGTTAGGGCGAAGTTTACAATTTTTGTGAACGTCGTTCGATCGTCGGCACGTCTAGTTTATTTTTACTTTATTTTCTCGCGTGCTTATGATTTAGGTGTCGTACTTTTCCGTCGGGACGAACTGCATCCGTATCTAAAATACAGGGAAACAGAGATTTGTATCTAGACTGCGGATATTTTCGAGGGGAATTTAAACAATAACGAAGAATGATCCCCTGAGCATCGTGTCTCGTCTGAATCACACAACATCCGCAGTCTATGTACTTCGCTGTGAACATTTACTATAGACTCTTGAAGTTCGTTGATAACTTTAGCAATGAAGCAATACGAGATCTTCCTACGAGAATCTTCATTTCAACTCCTTCGACAGACTATGCGCACGATGCACCGTTCGTCGAAACACAGAATGTAACCACGCGTCTCACTCACTGTAAATAGGAAATAGCAGATGTTCGACGGACCTCCACCTTAAGGTTCCCACGCTACTCCCGACGTTTAAGTGCCTAAAAAAAAAAGAAAGAAAGATACTGGGAGAAAACATTTGACCTCCTCAAACCTTCGTTGTCTAGTTTCTAGAAATGGTTAAGATACTATTTTGATTGGAAGCTACCGTTTCAACAGTGCAACAGCAGAACACACACACACGTATATATAAATCCAAATCTTCATCGTAGAATCTCAGTACAATTCCAACGTAATTAGACTGCGAATTTTAATGCGAAATAAAATAAGATTCGTCGCTTTCTCCCTCGCGTAAAATCGACGTAAAATCTGCAGTCTACAGATAATAATAAGTAACGTTCTCAGTGTAAAGAAATGGAAAATATATAGAGAAGTATATATTTATGAAACGTCGGTGTTTAAAAAGAATATAGTTGCACGAGACATAACAGAGGAAATAAATAAAAAAAAAACAATCGTCATTCCCACATTGATGAATAATATACGTATGTAATATAAATATATCGACTATATATATGTACACAGACATGTATGTCACACGTATGTATATGTAAAAGATGAAATAGTATTTTATCTGACTGCTAGCTTTCACGTAAACGGAAACGCCGCCGCCACCACCGTTCGACATACACCCTTTCAAGCCAGATCTCATCACTCTGACGAAACGAACGTGGATCGTTTATTTTTTATTCGCGCATGAAAGTCCCGCTCGTTTCCGTGGAGCACGAACATCGGCGTTCACAGTATGCATCGGGATTCATCACTATAATACATAAGGTACACAAGCTCGAGAAGAAGAGAAAAGGATACGCGTACATGTATTATGTATCATACAATGTATATTATATTATAGACTGAATTCGAACTTTCCAAATAGATTCGATTTATCGCGCGAAGCGTTTAAGAATGTACTGGCTATACAGTCAATGCCAAAAGTTTATGTACTTTAGAAAAACGCATTTCCCATAATTAAAAATAGTGCATTCTTCTTCTAATTTCGATATTTAATGAGTTAAGTATGATTATTTGGCATTTTATTGATGTTGACAAAATCCGACCATCCCAGCGTCGAAACAGCGAACTTTTGGAAAAAAATTTCGTTTTTTGTCAATAACTCCCGAAGAGATGGACATAGGGAGGTATATATAGGACCATTTTGTAGGGGATGACGAGATNCGTGTATATTAATTATTACAGAATATATATATACATATATATATAAAACAGAGAGCATATATATATATAAAATAAAGATGAAAGAAAGATTATATATACACAACGGTACACGGTTGTGTCCGTGGAGATGAGAGGAAAAGATGGAACCTTGAGGTCGCGGCGCGGGTCCCTGGATCACCGCGACGACAAGAACCGATTATTTTGTTGCGCGTGCAGAGAAGTCAATTTTTGTCGACTATATGTACATGAAAATGAAAAATTAATGAAAGAAAAGTAAACCCCTTGCATCACTATAACGTACCTCTAGAAGCGTTCTCATAGTTTAAATTTAGCCTTTGGGTTATCGATCGATGAATGATGTTTTCGAAACGAAAATCACGATGAAAGAGAGCGAGAGAGAAAGAGAGAGAGGGGAGAATGAATTGAGAAATGATTTCGATGCTTGGTAATCCGAGGGTTAAGACTGATTCAGCAAACACGCTATAAGAAAGCCAGATCGAGCGTATTTTGTAATTA